GATCCTGCACGCACTGGCTTGACGCTGTTTTCTCTCCACTTACTTCGGGGCAGACGGCCTGGACTATTGTCTCTTCATACAGTACTTTGCTGTTCTGTCCAGCTGGGTGTGAGTGCATGGGGAAGCAAGGAACTTCAGAGCAAAGCTTTTAATAAAATCTGTGATTATGACTATGCAAGTGAGTATCTCAGGGAAATTGGTAAAATGCAGTAATGTTGCACCCATATTCTCCTTCCCGTGTTCCTCTTTAAGCTGAAGATGGGTGTGTGTGTGTGTGTGTGTGTGTGCAGAAAAGGCATCTCATATTTCCCTTGCTCTCCTGACCTAGCCTTAGGTATCAGAGGCACACTTTCTGCTTTCCTTTGCTGATTTGGGAGTTCCTGGAATTCTTTCTTAGATTTGCTTTGATGACTAATTATTAACCCCTCTCTGTGTGCAATGCTGCACAATCCTCATATGCTGGTTGGCTGTCATTTAGAAAAGTCAGATTGTCAACAAAATGTAAATCTTCCAGGCTACTCTGCTGTATCTTTCCAGACCTGTTCTCAGAATGGCAGCGGCAAACAGGAGAGCTAAAAGGTGCTGTGGACTGGGAACAGATAACACTCCCCAGCAGGGGCGTTACCTAGGCATGTGCATGTGCAGAAGGGAATCTTTTGATCGCTTCTAGCTTCCTGCAGAACGGGAGCCCAGCTGTACCTGCCTTTCACTCCCGAGTGACTAGCTTATTTTCAAGGCTGCCTTCGCAAGGAAAAGGGACAGAAGCTTATTTTATTATTGTTATGGTTTTAATTAAAGAAAGCTTTGGTTGACTGGTGTGCTTCTTACTTACAGTCTGATTAAAAGTATTTTTTCCCTCCCCAGGGAAAATAACTTTCTTTCTTCTCATCATTTACTCTAGCTCTGTCATCATCATCTTTCACCCTTGACCAGACCTGAGCTCCTAATGTACAAGCCAGCTGAGGAAAGAACACCCCACCCACTTACAGCCCTGAAAAGATTTTAAGCTTTCCTTGTTCATTACAACAAAGCAATAAAAAGGCTCAAGCTCACCTTCAAAAGTCAAGTTCTCTCCCCAAAGGGAGTGCCATGAGTGAGTGTGAAATGACGCAGGGACCCAGCAGAGGTCAAGGTGAGCAGATAAGCAGCAGCACAGGCATCTGCAATTGTTTGAGGTGCCAGATTTGAGTTCAGGAAGGCAAAGGGCAGCCAGCTCTGAGTAACTGCCCTGGGCGCTAGTAGGTAGAGCAGCAGGTTGGGTGACATTCCCTTCTGCAGCACTCTTCTCCTTCTCTTGCTTTGGGGCAACAGGCTTCCCTCTCACCCTGCAGGGCTCCTCTCATCGTACCCCCCCCCCCATGGTATTTTTGCTCCCAGTGGCCCGCCC